GCAAGATACTAAGGAAAGAGGGGCTTTGGGTCTACCAGACCTGAAATTGTATTTTGATGCATACTTTCTGGCCCGGTTAAAAAAAGAGATGAACCTCCCGAATAAGAGGTTACTTGAATTAGAGGGCCATGAATTAAGGTTTGGATGGCATGGCTATTTATGGTATGATAAAATTAAAGTTCATGTTGATTTTAATAATCATTATGTTAGACGTGCCATACTAAGAGTTGGAATAAATATAAAACAAGTCTCTCTACAAAGTTCCCTCTTTGGGTGTCACCCCAGGAAGCTTTTTTTAAAGAAAAGAAATGGTGGCGAAGCCAGACTAGTTGACATATGGCAAAATTAATCTTTCAACTCTGGTGACCCAATATTAAAGCCGAGGGAAGAACTTGAATCAGAAGGTTATGTTTGCCATTAGTTTACTTATCAACAACTGAAAGAAAGATTTAAATTGTCTAAAAAGCTATGGATTTGACTGTTAAAAATAAATTGGAAATTTCATTATGTGGCAACGATGAACATATTATTGCTAAGATTTATAAAATGTTATTGAAATTGAATTTGGAAAATGAACATGTAAAACACTATATGATTCAGTGGGCAAGGAATTTTAGATATAACGTGATGCTTGAACAATGGGAAAATATGTGGACGAAGGGTTTAAAATGTACATTAAATTATAATTTTTTTAAAGATGATGTATCATTGGTACTTAATTATCTAAGATGTTTAATGGTATGTCAAATTAATTTTGGAAATGTAAAACTAAAGAAGGGACTTTTTATAATCTATGGTGGACATGTGATAAAGCAAAAAAAATTTGGAGTATGATTTTAATACAGAAAATTTTGAAAATGAAGATAAAGATGAAACCAGAAATTTTCCTTTTGGGCCTAATGGAAAAAGACTTGGAGAAAAAAATGGAATTTTAGCGGAAATTTGGCATGGTTCACTGAACCGGTAGCGACCTCTGGCTGGCCACGCCCCCAAACCAGTCCCCAGTCCCCGCTCGCTCACCCCACCTGCCTGATGCTCACTCTCCCCGCCCAGCCACTATTTGCACAATCTATCAGCGTACTTCTGCTCACCGCTGCTGGCAAAGGTAAGGCCAAATGAAACTGGCCAGCGGGTGGATGGGCCGCTGGCTGGCAGAGGGGTGATACCAGTGGTGGGTGGACCGATGCCCATGGAGAGGGAGGGGAGCGCACGGGAGATCGCAGCACCAGAGCTCTTCCCATGTGTTTCCCCAAGCTGGCCTGGCCTGCGAGGGAAGCATGCGGGAGATCCTACCTGCAGTTTACTTGTGAGCACCATTGGCCAGGAGAGGCAGGGAGAAAGGCCAATGGTGCTCACAAGTAAACTGAGGCTCCTAAGGGGGGTCAAGCCTCCCTGCTCACAACATCTTTACCTGAGAGCATCGCTGGCAGCCGCTTCCTGCGTCAGGAGGTCTGTGCTCTTCCAGCAGCGCTCAGCTCCTTGATGCGCAGAGGCAGGAGGTGGCAGTTTCTTTCGCTGCGGGTAAGGTGCAGGCGGCGAGCAGCAGAGTGAGTAAGCCAGCGATCTGCTGATTCCCTCTAATCTGCAGTTTACTCGTGAGCACCATGCTTACAAGTAAACGTGCTCATGAGTAAACTGCAAATTAGAGGCAGCTGGCAGCATGGGCGACAGGAGTGTTTGTGTGTCCCTCTGCAAGGACTTGGATGTAGACACTGTGCCTCTGAGGAAAAGAGGCGACGGTGAAGTCCTGGCTGTCACCCAGGAGAGGACCACGGGGGACACGTCACACGCCCGTTGCCCTCGCCACCGCTACTTTTGCTCTTGGCTTCTTGATGCTCTTAAAGTAGATCTTGAAGAGCTGGAAGACGTTTCCTTAGATCACCACCAAATTCATCTTTGGGAGAGGTGTAGGCTAACCCCTGAATATACGAGAAGTCTTGGGAAAAGTTCTTCCAAAGTCCAGCCAAGTCTTCTTCTCCTTCTCGGCCTTAACGTGTGTGAGCAAACATGTACATCATGAGGTGTGTGCACCATGAGGTGTGTGCAACTGTGCGTGTTTGCTCTGTGATACGAAGCAAAGAAGTGTTCAGGGGCTAGCCTACTCCTCTCCCAAAGATGAGTTTGACAGCAATCTAAGGAAACGTCTTCCAGCTCTTCAAGATTGACTTTAAGAGTGCTGAGAAACCAAGAGCAAAAGTAGCAGCAGAGAGGGCAACAGGGGCATGTGATGTGTCCCTCTGCGGTCCCCTCCCGGGTGACAGCCAGGGCTTCACCGCTGCCTCTTTTCCTCAGAGGCGCAGTGTCTGCCTCCAAGTCCTTGTGGAGTGTACATATGCCCCTGTCACCCCCGCTGCCGGCCACCTCTAATCTGCTGTTTACTCATGAGCACGTTTATAAACTGCAGATTAGAGGCAGCCGGCAGATCACTGGCTTACTCACTATGCTGCTCGCTGCCCGCACCTCGCAAGCAGCGAAAGAAACCGCCACCTCCTGCCTCTGCGCATCAAGGAGGCTGAGCACTGCTGGAAGAGAGCACAGACCTGCTGATGCAGGAAGCGGCTGCCAGCGATGCCCTCAGGTGAAGATGTTGTGAGCGGGGAGGCTCGACCCCCCTTTGGAGCCATGAAGCGCTCGCTGCCCGTCTGACACCCGCCAAGCCTCTTCCCACCGCGCTTCTCTTCCTCCTCACCAGAAGCAATCGCAAGTGACAAGACATCTGTTATTTTTGGGGAGACTGCGGGATTGCCCCCATCTGGTCTTCAGTACCTGGCTCATCGGCCTCCAGATGTCAGTTTCCCACCACCCAGCACCAGTTCAGAGGTTCCTTCCCCACCCCCACAGACAGAGAGAGAGGGAGGGAGAGAGGGAGGGAAAGAGGGACAAGAGATGGGGGAAGGGAAAGAGAGACAAGAGACACAGAGAGGGGGGATGGAAAGAAAGACATGAGAGAGGGAGAGAAAGAGAGAAAGAGACAAGAGACAGAGAGGGGGGGAAAGAAGAGAGACAAGACACACACACATACACATACACATAAAGAGATATGAGAGAGATGAGTGAGAGGAGATGAGAGAAAGGAAGAGAGAGAGGGAGAGATGAGAAACAGAGAGGGAGAAAGAAAGAGATGAGAGAGATGAGAGAGATAGGGAGAAAAAAAAGAAAGAGATGAGAGAGAAATGAGAGAAAAAGAGAGAGGACAGAGAGAGAAGGAGAAAGAGATGTGGGGGGGAGAGAGAGAGGGAGAAAAGAGACAGAGAGGGATACCTGTTTAAAAGAAAACGGTCACTCATGCCCTCGTCACCTCCCGCCTGGACTATTGTTAACACTCTCTACATGGGGCTCCCCTTGAGGAGCACCCGGAGGCTCCAACTGGCGCAGAGTGCAGCCGCGTGGGTGGTAATGGGAGCGACATGGCGTTCCCATGTAACACCCCTCCTGCGCGAGCTGCAGTGGCTCCAGGTGGTCTTCCGGGTGCGCTTCAAGGTTTTGGTTACCACCTTTAAAGCGCTCCATGGCTCAGGACCTGGGTACTTGCGGGACCGCCTACTACCACCTATAGCCTCCCACCGGCCGGTACGCTCCCATAGAGAGGGGCTCTTCCGGGTGCCGTTGGCCAAACAATGCCGACTGGCGGCCCCCAGGGGGAGAGCCTTCTCTGTGGGGGCACCTACTATCTGGAACGAGCTCCCCCCGGAGATACGGAGGATCCCGGATCTGCGCACTTTCCGCTGCGCTCTAAAGACCTTTTTATTTCACCAGGCGAGCGAATTTTCTCCCTCTTTTATAAAAGATTTTTAATTTTTAATATTTTTTATATTTTATATATTCAAATTTTAAAATTGGTTTTAAATTGATTGGGGTTTTAATTTGTCTGGGCCAAAACTATTTAATTTGATTTTAATTCCACTTTTTAAATTTTGTATGTATGTATTTTATTGTTTGGCTGTGCACCGTCCTGAGTCCTTCGGGAGTAGGGCGGTATAGAAATCAAATCAAATCAATCAAATCAATAAAATAAATAAATAAATAAATAAATAAAATAGAAAAATTGCTCTTTGATGTTTAAGGTTACTGAGTACTGCCCTGAGTTAGGCAAACACCATGGCCATTAAGTGAACCTTGTGGTCATTAATCGAACACTGTGGTTGTTAAACAAGTCCATTTTCCCCAATGGACATTTTTTTTTTAAATTTGATTTATATGCCGCCCTTCTCCGGAGACTCAGGGCGGCTTACAATGTGCTCAGCAATTTTTAAACATTTTTAAACGGAAACCAGAAAGAATTGTTGGAAACTGGCAAAAAACATAGAAAACCTCACTTACATGACTCTGTGGGATGTTGCAACTGGTCATAAGTGTGTGTGTGTGTGTGTGTGTGTGTGTGTGTGTGTGTGTGCATGTCTGTCAAAACTCCAAAAACAGGTCAAGTAGATCTGGGAAGGTCAGTCATAAATTTGAACACTTTTTAAGCAACCGGCCATCAAGTGAGGACCACTTGTATTTGGTTTGATTTAAGGGTTCAGAGCTGTATGGAATCTAGTTTCCTATGACCCTTTGCGGATTGCAAAAGGTCCGGAGGCAGGAATCCTCATCGGAGGAACTAGGATCATGACCACCTAGTCACCCCACGCAGTCACATGACCACCAAGCCACACCCACCCCGTCACATGACCAAGCCACACCCACCCCCATCACATGACCACCAAGCCACGCCCATCAAACAAGCCACGCCCACAGAACTGGTAGTAAAAAATTTGAATACCACCACTGAGACTGATAGATCCTTCTAGAAATGGCTAGTTTATATTATTATGAAAAAAACTAAAAGTTGTGATTTGATGTTAATGCCTTATTTTACTGCAACAGAGAGAGTCGGAAGTCAATGCTTCTTTTTTCTTAATCCATCCTCAATTTTCTTCCCCCTTTCCTTCCCATTGTTTTCATATTTTCTTTTGTATTTTGTATTTTATAAATAAAAATGTCAACGAGAAAAAAAATGCATCAAAAAAATTATTTCTTAAGAATTCAGCCTATTTTTCCAGGTCCAGGTAATTCAGTTGAGATGTTAAAAGACTAGTGTGCAGGGACTGCAGAACATTCACTAAACATCAGTTTCTTGCATAAATTAAATCATACCTCCATCAATGCCCATTATGAATCGGCCCAAAATAATCATTTCCAAGATTCCTGCCAGCAGTGAGAAGGCCATAAACAATGCAGCCACAATGGCAAACACGTTATTTAGCAGCAACGTTCGCTTTCTGAAAAGAAACAAATTACTTATTACCTCCTTATATTGCCAGATAAACAGTTTTTCATAAAATAAAATAAGTAAAAGTTGTCATGACAAATAGAGTAAGCCAAAAGTATGCCTATAATGCCAAAATTAAGGGTATACAAATATCCTTCAAACTGCTTAGGAGAAGGCAATGGAAAACAGACAAACTAAAAACCCATGGATAGAAAGGCTAAAGATAGTTAAAAATCATGGATACAAAATACTGTAGATCAAATGAATCTGACTGTAACTGTCTTGCCAGGGAGTCTCTTCAGAATTTATCTTAAATTAGGTGAGACAACCAGCAGCCCCAGAACTGTGCAGGTTTCAGAATAACAGTTGTAAGGGATCTTGGAAGTCTTCTAGTCCAACCTCCTGTTCAACTAGAAGACCCTATCATTCCATATAAATGCCTGTCCAGTCTCTTCTTAAAAATTTCCACTGATCTCTCTCACATTCAATGATGTTGAATGTTCAGTGATAGACTACCTCATTTTGTCTTTCACCTCCCACCACCTCACTTTGTGGCTGCCACACCAATGCATTGCTCATCCTCCTGCTCTGTTATGGTGGCGAGCAAGGAGAAGTGTCAAAGAACGAAGGCGAATGAAGCGAGGCAGTGGGGGGGGTGGGGTGGAGGACGAAGCAGTGCAGGTCGCCGTGGAGAGCATGGTTGGTGCCACCACTATGAGGTGGGGTGAGAGAACAATCTGATCAAACCTCTGTGTTTGAGTGTGTGTGTGTGTGTGTGAGAGAGAGACAGAGAACTGCTTTCAGCGCTGCTCGGTTTCCCACCCCACACCCGCCAGGCTGGTCTGATCTTCTGCCTTCTCCACCGTGCCACAAACAGGGATTCACCATCCCTCAAGTCCCGCCACTTGTCAAAGTAGATCCCGGGCACTGTGCTGCAATGGACAGATGAAAAGTGCAGCTTTTGTCTGAGGAGGAGCAGGGAGAAGAAAGAGGGAAAGCGGCCGAGTGAGAAGTGCCCCACTGGCCAGGCACTGAAGCACACCGCTGCCAGCCCTGGTATAACTCTCCGAGGTTGGGTCGGATCTCTCTCTCTCTCTCTCTCTCTCTCTCTCTCTCTCTCTCTCTCTCGTTTTTCATTTTTTTTGGCAAAGTGACTAAATTACTAGACCAGTGAAATGCCATATACTTGGATTTCAGTAAGGCATTTGACAAAGTAGACCACAACCTACTTCTTGGTAAGCTAGAAAAATGTGTGATAGACAGCATTACCACCAGATAGATTTGTAACTGATAAACAAACTATATTCAACATGTAGTCCTTAATGAAACTATGTCCACATGGAGGGAGGTGGGCAGGGTTCTGTTTTAGGCCCAGTACTCTTCAATATCTTCATAAATGATATAGATGAGGGAATAGAAGAGAAACTCATTGAATTTGCATATGACACTAAGCTGGCAGGAATAGCCAACACCCCAGAGGATAGGCTCAAGATTCAGATGGATCTCGACAGACTTGAACACTGTGCCCTATCTAACAAAATGAAATTCACTATGGATAGAAGTAAGATTTTGCACTTGGGCAAGAAAAACCAATTGCACAGGTACAGTCTAGATGAAACTTGGCCAGTAACTGTGAGAGGGATCTTGGAGTCCTAGTAGATAATCACTTGAATATATGCCAACAGTGTGAGGCAGCATACACAAAAGCCAATGCAATCCTAGTCTGGATTAATAGAGGGATAGATTCAAGATCAATATAAAAAGATGTTAAGACAATGGAAAAAATTCAGGGAAGAACAAGAAAGATGATTGGGGGTGGGGGTGGAAGCTAAAACTTATGAAAAACAGTTTAGTGAAAAGAAGGACTAGGGGAGACATGATAGCAGTGTTCCAATATTTGAGGGGCTGGCACAAAGAAGGGGGGGGGTCAACTTATTTTCCAAAGCACCAGAAGGCAAGACAAGAAATGATGGATGGAAACTAATCAAGGAGAGAAATCACCTAGAATTAAGGAGAAATGTCCTAACAGCGAGAACAATTAACAAGTGCCTTCCTGCCGAAGTTGTGGATGACCCATAACTGGAAGCTTTTAAGATGGAACTGGACTTGTCTGAAATGGTATAGGGTCTTCTGCTTTAGCAGGGGATTGGACTAGAAGACCTCCAAGGTCCCTTCCAACTCTATTATTCTGTGGTGGTGCAGTGGTTAGAATGCAGTACTGCAGGCTAACTCACTGCTCATTCCAGTAGTTCAATTTGACTCAGCTTTCTATCCTTCTGATGTCAGTAAAATGAGGAGCCAGATTGTTGGGTGCAATATGCTGACTCTATAAACTGCTTAGAGAGGGCTGTAAAGCACTATGAAGTGTATACAAGTCTATTGCTGTTCTAGTACCTGGCTCAACAGTAGAGCCTGTGAGAGGGACTTAGGAGTCCTGGTGGATACCTGCTTAAGTATGTGTCAGCAGTGTGATGAAGTTGCCAAACAAGTCAAACCAACAAAATCAAAATCAAAATCATGGGAAGTGTTAATACTGCTCAATAATCAATACAATTCAAATGAGGCCACACTTGAAATAATGTGTCCAGTTCTGGTAACCATGATTCAAAAAAAGATGCTGAGGCCTAGAAAGTGTGCAGAGAATAGCAACAAAGATAATAAGAGGTTGGGGGCTAAGTTGTACAATGAACTGCTAAGAGAACTAGGTATATTTATCCTAACTAAGAGAAGGCTTAATCTGGCTCTAGGTTGTGCCTCAGCTTATCTTTTCCAATATGCAACCAAGTCAGAATATCATTTAAAAACTATTTATTACTCTTATAAAATGGGGTCTCCCTATGAAAAGGATAAGGGTCATTCCATGTCAAGTGGTCTGAGGGCCCCTGCTCTCAAAAGAGAGGCTTTTTTTGAAGGTTAAGACTTCTGGCAAATTATTAGTAATACATTTGAAAAAACAAATTTAAAAGAAAAGAAAACCCATGTTAGTCAGCCAATGCAACAGTACTACAAAAATCATGTTTCAAGTATTACAAAGTCCATCCTATGTGGCCCTCACAGGTGACATGATAGCAGTCTTCCAATACTTGAAGGGCTGTTACAGGGAAGAGGTAGTTGATTTATTCTACATAGCACCTGAGGGCAAGACAAGAAGCAATGAGTGGAAGCTAATCAGAGGGAACTTCAACATGGAATTAAGATGAAATTTCCTGACAGTGAAAACAATTAATCAATAGATTAATAGCTTGCCTCCCAGAGTTGTGGATGTTTCATCACTAGTGGTTTTCAATAAAAGATTGGACAACCATTTGTCTGGGATGGAATAAGGACTCCTGCCTTGGGCAGGGTTTGGACTAGAAGATCTCCAAGGCCCCTTCCAGCCCTATGATACTATGATTATTACATTACACCAAAATGTCCACTGTGAAGAAGCAAAATTCTATCATCAAAAGGTATTCAGGAGCATTGTAGGTTCAAAATAGCTTGAGAACCAAAGAAAGCAGGCCAGTGTTAGTCAGCTTGAGATACTTCACATAATAAATGCAGAGGTGGCGCTGTGGTTAGAGTGCAGTACTGCAGCTACTTCAGCTGACTGCTAGTTCAGCAGATCAGCAGATCAAATCTCACCGGCTCAAGGTTGACTCAGCCTTCCATCCTTCCGAGGTGGGTAAAATGAGGACACAGATTGCAATATGCTAATGCTAATGCAATATGCTAATATGCAATATGCTATATGCTAACTTTGTAAACCGCTTAGAGAGGGCTGTAAAGCACTATGAAGCGGTATAGAAGTCTAAATAATAATTTTAAAAAAGTAAGACTATAAAATAAAAAATCCAAGCAAATAATACTAATCCAAAATAAAGAAAACCAAACTAAACCAAACCATAGGAAGAGAAAAGCAAAACTGACTGGTGGGTGATGCTCCCTTTGATAAAGTATTGTTTTGGAGATAAAAGCAATGGATTAGGTTTACTTTTATGACAACAAACTGTTCTACAACACTGCATTCCTGCAACTGCCACACTTGCATGTCACATATGTAAACAGTTGTAGGACGTAGAAATGGGTTCCAGGTTGCCCTTACCATACCCAATATTTAAGGAGAAACTCCAGGAAACAGAATTGGGAGCATCATTTTATCTGGCTGTATTGCTCTATTTCTGTCCCAGTAATACTCTCCAACCAATCCTTTCTGCCTCCTCTGAGGAAGAGATTTGCCTAAATTAGTGGAGCTGCTGCTGTAGATAGTAAGCACATCTGTAGATTCAGTGGCCTACAAGAAGACCTCAAGCTGTAAGAAGTTAGAACCTGGAGAGTGAACTTGGCCAATCCATGCACAATTCTCTTGCAAGTACATGCAATTTTATTTTGTCCCCAGATCTGAATCAAAAACAATGCTGGGCAAGTCTAAAACTTTTTTGATACCATGGGGGAGTCGACCTGTGATCTTCAGCCATACAATTATCAATACAGTGGTACCAGGGGGCCATATCATGTTCTGGAAGTGTGCACTCGCTGTCTTCGAGCGATTGCGCACTCCGGTCCCCAATGCTCTTCTCGTTCCCCGGGTTGCACAGATCCTCAGGGCCTGGGCCTCCGGCTGATGTTGTGCAACGCCAGGTCCGTGGTAAATAAAGCCCCCCACATTTATGACCTTATCCAGAAGGGGGGAGTGGACCTGGCGGGTATTACGGAGACCTGGCTGGGTCCGGAGGGGGGGTGCCCCTTGTTAAAATATGCCCACCAGGTTTCCGTGCATTCCATCAGCCGAGGGCCCAGAGTAGGGGCGGGGGGGGGTGGCAGCTATTATTAAAGAAGGTCTCTGTCCGAGGGAGGCCACTGTACCTCAGATAGCCGGATGTGAGTCCCTCCTTGTGAAGTGGTGTCGTGGGGTTCAGATGGGCTTGCTGATTGCGTGCCTGGCTCCCTACCATGTAGCGGCGGCCCTGCCTGAGCTGCTCAACGTAATAGCCAGGGTGGCGGTGGATACCCCCAGACTTATAGTCATGG